TGAAAAATTTGAAATCACTATAATTTTAGCTTTTTAATAGTAATAGGAATCTATAATAACAAATTCAACATGCTAGCATTGTTTAAGTGTATGGCCTATACATCCTTGAATCTAACATCGGTGCCTCCTATTCCCCTTCGTTCGGGTATTTAATATCGCACCATTCGCAGTCCGTAGTCACGGAATTATTTATGGGCGTTTGGAAATTCGCACATGCACGCACGGTAGACGTAATTTCGAATGCACGCTTTACGATCCACAGTTGGGAACAATTTTTTTTTATTAACGTTGCGTCAGGTGTCGAACACAATGGGAGGGTCGAGAGTGCGCGTTTCGCAAAACCTTTTGTTTCGCTCGGCAATCGGTTTCCTAAATTAATATCGAAATTGATTGCACGCGGAAATGATGTCACGAATAAAAGCAGAACCATATAAATATTCGGTTCTAGATACCGATCGATCAATATGCAAAAGGCATTTTGTGTGACGTTCGCAAATACGTTTTGCGTGCGGTTGCATGAAGATTTATATTGGACAGAGAGAGAGACAGAAAATTCGATAAAATGTTATTTTGTCGCAGTTACAGTGTTGCGGCATCGAGGGTCCTAAAGACTGGGATCGCAACAATTATTTCAATTGTTCGTCGAGCGACATTGGCTCGAGGGAAGCATGCGGCGTGCCTTTTAGCTGTTGTAAACGAAAGCCAAATGTAATTTTCCCGTTTCAACGTAAACGTATTTCACATTTATTACATTCCCGTTTTAATGCGTTTATCTTTCTGAATTTCTAGCTGTCGAACTGCAACGTTCATTTGCATGCGAACATTGCGGTTCATACGTTTCTATAGTGATATCAAATTTTATCGCGTCCCCAATTTTATTCATACGTTCGTCTACCTGCTACCATTCGTCGAACCTTTATTTCTCGATGCTTACAGGAGATTATTAAAAACAAGCAGTGCGGCTATGACGTTAGAAAACCTAGTTATGTAAGTAACTTTGCAGTTTTTTATAACACCCGACTCTTACTTGTCGTGTTTGCAAAAGTAACTTGATCCAAAAAGTGACTAACACTCACTTCCACCTTCATTTTAACATCGCTTCGATTCTTCCGGCGATCATGTTTCTTCCTCTTGCTTTTACTAAACGTCTCGCATATTTCCACACCTACTCGTTCCTCGTACGTATTTCTTTCGTTCGCTTTGACTCAGTTGGACGGTTCCACCCGCACTTAGTTTAAATATTATTTCGTCGGTGATATTCAGCGTGCGATCTAATTGTGAGTTGTATTCATCGATCGATGTAAAAGTAGCTTGACGAAGGTGAGACGGGAAAAATAAAGAGAATGGTTCCGCGATTCGGACGATTGCACAGCAGCCAAAGTAAAAAAAGAAACGAGGCTACCGGCTCGACGATGTTTGCAAGTGTTATCAGCATGCTGCAGGCACGACAACGTAAATCCTGAATCTTCGAGCCAAAGCTCTCCTTCCTGTAAGCGGAATTTTTTTCAATCGTTCTGTTTGCTCCCTCGGGCAGACTGGGGAAAGGAGTATATACGAGAGGGGCTGTCTGAGAGCGGGCGAGGAATGGCTAGAATTGAATCTCGTACCTGTCGCTGGCACCGTTGTCAGCACTATGGTTTTACAGGTATACGAAACCATCCAGTCGTGATAAACGAGAGTTCGAACTTTCCCTTCGCACATTAAATCGGTGCGTCTCGATTATTTTGACATCGGCCGTCCTCTCTAAATCAGATTTAAAAATTGAAATATCCCCTTCATCGTTTAATTACCTGGAAAAAGTCCTGTTAGGATCCCCGGAAGCACGGCTTTAATATTCCCTCTTTCCGACGAAATGGGTTCCGCAAAAATAGTCGTGTATTTTAAAAGGAAATTAACTGCAAATATCTAATATCTCTGGTGGAGTTTGCATAATACGTTGACCCGGGATAATGTTAATAAAACATTCAGAGAGATCCACGGCCGTACGATGTCAAATTAATTTAATGTACAAACATTAATTTAGCCGGGAGCTCGTAATTCGTACTTCATAAAAATCGTTGAAAAAATACCGCCGCTGTTCGATGGACTTATTACGGAGAATTACGGGGAAAGTTTCGACCTGCTCGTGTATATTGTTCATTATTAGTTGATATGTCCGAATCACACAGTCACGGTGTCGCATGTAAATGTTTTACGTATACGTTGACATTTATTCGCTGTTCTCATTTGGCTCGCATGAAGCACATCGTTTAACGAGATATATCTACGTACGTACCGTTGTAGCAGTGATCTACGTGCGACATCGAAACACCAGACGCGTGGCTACGAGATCCTGTAAGTACTTTGAAAATGTTTCACGAGCACACTTCGATCACAATTAATTAGCGTTTCTTTTTTCCATGGGTATATACGTTTTTTTCGTAATAAATGGACCGTTCATGCGAACCTGACACGCAACGTAATATGAGTTTTTACTGTGCGCAGAAATCGGCACCATAAATTACGGCGAGGTCGCCGCATAATCGTGACATTCGGGAGATTACATTTCCTTCCTTGGCCTATGCAGAATAAAAGTCCGAACTAGCGTGTGGGTACGTGCTTGTGCTACGCGCGTACGCGTACTTACGCAGACGTTGGCCAAATAAATATTTCAAACGTCGCTGTTCCGGCGCGGGTCGCGCGGGATAAAAAAAGATAATCCTGTGCGATGAATTATTCTGTTATCGTCCGGTATTATTTCATGCTCATGGATTATAGAATCGCGTTAATAATCGTGACGATTTTCATGAAAATTAAGAGCTCTCTCTACTTAATTAAAAATTCATTTCCTACGGCCCTTTCGCTAACGAAGTTATCTGCATGCACGGAATTAATTAATATGAGAATACAGTTAATGTCCGAGGAAGGAGGAACGTAATTTGTTTAATTAAATATTCGAAAGGTAACACGAGCGTCAACGCGCTCGAGCAAATAGCCGCTTTGAACTGCACGTAGGAAAATCGCAAGGCGGAATGAATTAGCCGTTTCCAACGAGGCTCCGTTTCGACGAAAACCCTTAAAGCAATTAGTGCGTCCGACGCGTCGTTGACGATGGGGTCCGGGGGTCGTCGCGAAAAAGGCGAAGATCGGTCGAACCGGACAGGGCCAGTGGCCGAGAGGCGAAAAGGGTACGCGCAAAAGATTTGCGTGGTTCACGCGACGCGTTCGACTTCCTGAGGCGAACGTAAAGCGCTGTGAAATAAAGTGGGCTTGTTACTTATCGTTGGCCGAGCTGACGTGACATTTTATACAGGCCGCCTGTACTTCCTTACCAATTTCTTTCCTCTCTTTCTCTCTCTTTCGCACCCTACGGCCCGCCACGTAGCTCCGCTGCTAAAGTTTCTGATAAGTATTCTGTTACGTCCTAATTCAGCAGCGGATGCGGCAAATCGCTCCGAATAAAACAAGTGGATATCCGAAACTTTGGCATCGTGCTGTAGTAACAGGGAAGTCGACTTTTAGTCAGAGTCAATTCGATCGATTGGAATTCGACAGGATCATCACAGCGATTTCATGACCAAGACCGATGATCCAGACACTATTGTAATACCGGTAATCGATTGCCTCGTGAGAATTTATTAAACACTTTAGCGTCGGTGCCCATATGGACGTTACGTGAGCCACGAGAGATTCGATACTCGTTTCTCGGCTAAACGAAGAAAAGAAAAAACACGAGGCAGTAATGGGAGAAGTAGATTTTGAGCGTCGAACTCTCGATGAACGAGATCGAAAAAATAGGATCGTGGTCCAACGAATCAAAGCGACTCGATGAAAAAACGGAAACGCGCTCTCGCTGGTACGACGAGTACTTCTCATTTTCCTTTATCCTCCGTTCCTCCTTCATTTTCATCGGATCTCGACGCTGTTTCTACCGAATTCTGTCGGACTAACAACCTGCCTGCTTGCCTGCGTTCGCGAGACTCGAGAGCGCAACGGTGAGCCCAAGTAGCCGATCGCCTTTGTTTTACAGAACTTTGAAGTTGCCAAAGTGATTTACGAGAAAGGTTGTGTTCAAGCCGGGGAGGAGTGGGTGGAACGGAATCTTCTTGCGATCGTCACCGGGGCGGTTGGTACGGCATTTGCGCAGGTATATTCATCGTTCTCAACGTATACACAACTCCACGTTTCGAGCGTTCACGTGTAGAGAGAAAGATCGTTTCGCATAAAGATCCACAGTTTGTTCACAAGGAAATGGGTCGGTGAGAAGAATCTGTTTAATTTCGTAGTCGCAGTGGTAATACAACGCGTCGCATCACACGACACATAGTGTATTGCATGTACACGCACCGGAACGTTGTTAAATGTAATAGACGTTGCATGAGAAGACAGTATCTTGAATTAATTTGTGCCGGGAGATTAATGCAAATAAACCGACGGCGCCGTCGTTCGTTCGCAGCTGTGGCTAATTAGTTCGAGCGAGTTACTGATCGAGTCTTACGAACAGCACAAATTAATCGGGCCACTCTGTCGTTTTCGCATGTCGCGTTTCGACCCGTTAATCGATCCCGTTCTCGTGTTGTTTTCCAGATTCTGGGTATCTGTTTCGCCCAAAACCTTCGCGCGGACATATTCGCGCAGAAGGCGAAGTGGCATTGACAGTTCAGGGCCCCCACGGCGGTCTAGCATCTCATCCTCATAGATGCTGATCTATTGCGTTGATCGAGCTGGACAAGAGACACGATTCCGCGTGACGGGCACGGGATCCATCGAGGCGTCCGAACTGAGTCGAGCTTTTGTTAGAATCTCACGATTTTTAAACTTCTGACTTGCGACATCAATTCAGGCTTCCCGAGTCTCGTCGAATAACTTCGATCGAGAAACATTGTTCGGTTCTGATCGAGCCGCGTGATCCTATATTCCTAGACGTCCTCGCATTGATTCTATGAATTTGAGAAATCGATTATCCTATTCCCTGCGAAAAAAGGTCGATGAGTTCGGATGGCCCTCGGGCAGAGCTACGAATTCGCGGAGTCTGAAAGAGGGAGAAAGGCAATGAAGAAATTGCGTTCTCCGAGCACGGACTGGTTAATCGGTAGCGACGTTTGAGGGTCAGAGGGCAGGGAGCGTGGTAGATAGAGGAAAGAACGGAACGGGAGAACACCTGCTCGATTTACGAGGAACAGCGTGTCGAAGCGTTAAAGTCGATTGACGCGATGTCGTGGGGGCGGCGGTGAACGCGACCGATTTCACCGCACACGAGTAAAACCTCTCTCAGTGGGCACGGTCACGAGAGGCGAAGCGAGCCATATGACACGCAAATACACAATAACTTTCCGTTGCTCCAATTGGTCGTTAAAACAGTTGCTCGAGCTACTTTCAGCATATATTGATCCTACGTTACGCGCCGCGCTGATACGTTCCCTTCTATTGACAGGCCGGCTATCCGTCGCGACGACGCGTTTCGTATGCGCTATCGTCACGCAGCTAAATTACACCCGCAAGAGAGAGTGTACGGTGGCTCGGTCATTCTGTGAATTCGAAAATACTAGCCTCTCTGATACGACGATAACGTCACAGGTAACGTCTATACCCAACTCGTTTCCTTCTTCGTCCTTTCATCAGCTAAACGAAATTACGTCCCCGAGGCAATGGCCAGTGACACGCTACCGCTCGTAAGTATTTGTCTTGCCATACCAGCGAGATCAATTACTATGATTCTGATTTGTAATTAGACGGGTTAAGGGGCAGAGACTTACGAGCGGTAGCTCGTAACCGTATTTATTCATCTTTTTATTCTTTTTCCTTCCAACATGTTCCTCTCAACGTCTTCGAGATTCATACGCATTCTGGTTTGAATGAGCTTGACAGACTTTCTTATCTTGTTTGATTTAATTTCTGATTGTACAAGAATGTGTTTTCATCTTAGTTGAACAATTAAACAGAACAATTGCCATGCTTATATACACAATCCGTTTTAAGTATGACATATCCGTCGACGTACCAAACGGAATTTTCGAAAGAATTCAGAAGAGACTGAAATTTTCACTTCCCAGAAAGAGTAAAATTATTTTATCCAACACTCATGTATATAGATAAGATCACTTGTTCCGTTCGTTGCATTATATTTTATTACATAAAAGACTCTGTTCCTGCCAAATGAAATAGAGCACGGAAAGCGAAAATGACAATCATACTTGAGAGAACAGTCTATAATTTACAGTACGTTAGGACATTTCAACTGATTGCGATGCTGGCAAAAGGCGTTAATTGATATTACATTCACCGAAGGAAATGCACGGAAATTCTAGTCCGTCCGTTTGGTACAATTTCGGATATCCCACTACTAATTGTAACAATATTGTCGTTATAAGCCCTTCATGAATTCCAGAAATTGCTAGTTTATTTGAGAAAATTGAATCCAATTATCCAAGGAAGTTTAATTTACGTCTAATTTAGCAAGAACAAAGAGCCGACAATTGCATGAAAGTATCGAGTTCAAACTAGTGATAGCATTTAATAAATGTAACAGAGAGCGGCTGGACCGCTGGAACGTTTTCAGTTTCGATGAGAACACTGTTTTCTAATGACGGAATACCAAGAGATTAGTCCTGATTTTCTCGATGTTCTCCCAAATCATTTTTATACTGTGTATATATATACATAAAGTTCAGGGTGGCTCTCGGTTGCACGTACATACAAACATTTTCTCTGCGGATCCCTTTTCTCGAAGCCCTCGGAATTGTTCCAATTCGTGAGACTATCGTCATCTACTGACGCAGGAACAATTCAGAGCGAGCGAACAATTTCCATATGTAAAAAGACGAGAACCACCCTAATGATTAACAAACGTGTATCGTGTCAACGCCGAATTATGATAAAGAACGTCGTTCGTCTACTTGTTGATTGTGTTTCAATTAATATAAAATTCATAATTCATATCCTGTGTTCAGACATACAGGAAATACTGCATTACCAATAACTGACGAATCATTAATCAATTAAATGCGTTGCACACATTTATTCCTATAATGATACGATGGTAATACATGGCGATGAATTAGTTATAAATCTTCTCAGCGAATTAAGTTAATTAGCGATCGCGGAAGCAGTGAATCAGAACAGATTTTCGTATCGTTCCGTAACTTAATTTGCCAGCCTGATCCGATATTCTTATTGGGAACTATGATATTTCTTAAACCCAGGCGGAATATGCGGATCACGTAATGAATGCATGTGCGTATCGAGTCAACGAGTTGTCGTACCGTACAATATCAAAGATTACATTTAACGACTAATCTTCGTTCGGTAAGCATTTGTCAAAGAGTTTCTTTTACTTTTATTCGTGATGGTCTAGCATGGCAGCGAGACCATCGTGCTTTTGTACACTTGTTTAAAAAATGGCCGCTTCGATTGAATTTTTATTATCTAATAAAGATATTGTTTATACACTTTTCCTTTGGTTGTCGTTTCATTTATTTCAGGGTAATTGTAATAGGATTGTCTCGTCACATGTATTAACGTTAATGCTCGTTATAGCAGACGAATCATCGTGCCAAATTCATCTTTGTTCATTTGCAAAAGAAAAAAATGCAAGTATTTCGTTCTCGTTTAAATCGTTCTAATTAAAAACGAATGTAATATACGTCTTAGAAGTTACGATACACGCGTCTTGTCACGACACGAAATATTTTTGGATGGCGCAAATTACATTTTCGAAAAATAAATAATGGATCTTAACGTAGACAGGAGACGTAGTAAAACGAATCTTTGTTTCGACGAATCGATTCGATCCGAAGTTTTTGTCTAATGTAATTGATCTAGATGTTAGAAATTCTTTCGAGTAGATGGAACGTTTCTTGTATTTAGAAAGTATGTACGCTAAATGTCGATTAGTTATTTTCATAATTTAACAATTCCTTTTTGAATTATTTGGACAGGGATCATAAAATGGATCCGTTTTCTTTTCTGAGGATAAGATTGTGCATAATGAATCATGTATAAACTGCAATGCCATATACCTACTTATTAGCTTTTCCTATGTATTTATTAAACTATTACAAATATAATTGTATAAACTTGAAGTTATCGAAAGTTAATGCAGTTTACGGATCATTTCGATAAGCGGGAAAGTAAGTTCGTTGCGTCGTTTCACAGAGTTTATTAATTATTACTGCCAGATATATTTTTTACAAGCGCAATCGCTTAAATATTTTAAGTAGCACTGCCGTTATTGTGTTCCTCCAATTGCTGTCCGACTGTTCGCCGTTCTATTCAATTACTGTACAGCCATATACATATATATATATATATATATAAATGTACCATATAACAAATATTTTTAAATGTAATAAGTGTTAAACCAACTAATGTAAATACAACTGTATACTTTCCTCGTAACAATTAAAATGTTACTGTAACGTTTTTTATGGATAAATTAATATTTATACTCGATTGATATATGAACGAATAAAAAAATTGCGATAATTATCACTTCGAGACTTCTGTTTCAGAACATCTCAAATCCGTTTTAATAATTTAGGACGGAGGCGGAGGATAGAAGGACGCTACAAAAATAAGATAATTTCATAATGCATTTATTTTCAGTAAAATAATTCGTGATCCCTCTTAATATTCAATATGATACTCGGTATTGGAATCCCATAGAAATGATTAAATTCGAACATTCAATCATCTTCCGGATATGTAACTCCGACCTGCCTGCGGATCTCGTCTTCCAGCTTGGCGATTAGCAGGGAATCGGCATGCGATACTTTAGAGCTTTCGAGTTTGCCTGGACAAATAAAATTGGCAATAATATTTCGCATTGTAAAAACTGTTTTATGTTACATTCAAACGTTCGCATTATCGTAATCTACGCTCAATTATAAAAACAATCGATAGTAAAACAAATCCTTGATAAAATTTGTTTACGATTAATGTGTTAAAATATTTGCTGTCTAAAACTTATCGTTCGGACAAGGCGTATAATTTTATTTTCTATGTAGGCTACCTTGTAAAATGCACTCGCGAACTTCCTTGGCCTCGTAGCTCAGCCCGGCGCTGTTGATAAAATTAAATTGGCCCTTGGTTTGCGGAAGCGGTGACTCTATTTTACTTCCGTCCGGCAATACCATGTACGTGGGGCACCAGAAATTCGGCACTTTTATCATCCCCTTCGTACCAATTACGTAAGCCTCGTTAGGTAAAGTGACCAACGAGTGAGTAATGATGGTAGCGGTGCGATTCCCTTTGTAAATGAAACTGGCCGACACCGACACGTCGATTTCCTCTTGGCTCAAGCAACCGGTAGCTTGCACCGTCTCAGGCATTTCATTGTTAAATACCCAATTAGCGAATTGTATGCCATATACGCCTAAATCCAATACGGTACCGGCCCCCAAACTCTTTGAGCTAAACAGAGTAAAACGCGTTTTGAACTAAACTCTTAAAATCACGCGTTTCGACGGATCCTCTTTACATACGTCATTCTTTCAACATCGGTCAATTGAAATCCGAAAGGCACAATGACCTGATGAATTTCCCCGACAGTATTCTTCTCAAGCTCTTTCTTGAGACGTTCGTATACAGGGAAGCATCTGCTCCAAATAGCTTCCATCAAGAACAACTTTTTCTGCTTCGCTAAATTGATCAATTCTGTCGTCTGCTTTAAATTCATAGTCATAGCTTTTTCGCATAGAACGTGTTTCCCATGATTCAACATTAATTTCACGATCTCGAAATGCTGAGGATGTATCGTCCCAACGTACACGACATCTGCAAGTGCGATCTTCCCGTAGTCTCTATTTCATTTTTAGACCCTCTTTTGTGTTTCTCGAAAACATACCGATATCTTTGTTCTGCCCTAATTTCACGTAATCGTCATACGCATTTTTAATATCGTGCAAGCCAGCAAATTTCTGTGCCCTTGACAAATCGCGGGCTGCTACCGCGACGACCACATGTTCGGTGCTCGGCAATACTCGAAGAGCAGTTACAAAATCGTTTGATATCTTTCCAGCGCCTGCTATACCCCAACGAGTGGCCATCTACGACATCGTTATCAGTACGTATAATATTTTTCTCCATTCAATGTACTTGATCGACCGCTAAATCGATCGAACCGTTCCTTACTCGCAAACGCTCGCATTCATTTTCGTATCTACACACTATAACTTATCGCCTGAATCAATGATTCTTATCGCAATTGCATGCACGATTATCAAATCACGAAGCTACAGAAGTAGCAAACGATATTGTCCAACGTGCAATTAATAACGCTAATACAAAGACTACTGCACAAGAGATTTACTACGAGGGCTTGTTAGGTCTGATTGATGATCTGCTGATAAATAGTGATTCAGATAACCGAGATAATTTTGATAATTTATTTCAAGGATATCTGTACATTACAATTTAATTCTTGTATGCACGTCTTAAGCCCCAGTCTTCAACGTTTCAGTCGTGTAATTGACAAAGAAACATCTGCTATTCGAATTAATTACTATTACGTAACAGCAGTAATAAAACTATCATCCATACATGTTATTCTTTACCAGTCCAATGTAACTTCTAATTTCATAACTCTCGGCAATAACAATAGCGAAACAGATAATGTTCTAGCTATACTTAAAACATTTAAGTAATACAAATGTGAATAGAAGTGGTGTGTACGTATGAGTATTATAACGATTATCCAGTTAATACAAAAGCTATTCTTATAGATTAAAGAATAATTATAATAGCTTACTTTACGTTGAAAAGTCGATGTACAAAAGTATTACAACACGAGCCGGCTTATTATTTCACACTACTTGCTCAGCTTGCGGTGTATGCGACGCAAGCTCTTGAATTTATGAGATACCATCCTATGGAATTTGCCGATACGTCACATATAGATTAGAGTAATTGAACAATATATTATGGTCGAAAGCCTGTGAACTCACATTTATACACGGACGCACATACACACATAAAACGCCTACATATTTCACTCGTAACGTATTTCAATCGTAATTACATGATTATAATTGCATGATTATTGATCCTTTATTTTCTCGATAAAAATGTACATCCGGCGCGCACGTGGTAATAATAAATGGGAATTAAAATAAGTTAAAGGCATGTATTTTAATATCAGGAGCGAAGTACAAATTGGTATCGACTTACAGTAGTTCAGGGAAGAATAAAAATAGACGGAGAAAATAGAATCTGCGAATCGGAAGTAGGAAAGATAAGCGGGATAGACTTTGTCCCGGCAAATACGAAATTAAATTCTGAAGCCTTGGAAGATTTGTAACTTAGTAACGCATGAAAAGTTCGCGACTTACGTAATGTTACTCACCTGATTAGGCGAAGATTGATCAAGGCAATAAAAATCTTGTTCCCGGCTTAAATTTAGCAATAAAATATAGCGTGTATATTACTTTATTGAATTTTTGTATAATAACATTGTAACGCGCCGCAGATTGTATTACAGAGGTAGATATTTGATAATACGATGATAACTTAAACGACTGGTGTGTTAACGTGAGAATGTGGAAGTTGGACGGAGTGATGCGAGGCGGGCAGTGATAGCAGGTGTCCGCGTTCCATTTCGTTTACTTCTTGTTGTTCGGTTCCTCCCAACGAGCCAGTCGAACGTGCAAGACTGTTGCGCTGTCTGCACATGTACGGTGTTTCTCCCGGCGAAGGCGTTTCACGACCCTAAATTCAAATGCATGGTACATTTACACTCGTCATAAAGCACGCTGGAACCGACAACTTCGTGAGGGACTCTCAGACGATGAATAACAGTTATCTTTGGAGTATGTGTCATGAAAAATTAAGTTTTTTTATAAGCTCTCGTCCTTGGAGTCTATCAGAAAAGATGTGAAAAGAGATGAGTATGTCTTTCAAGCCTTTCAACATGAGTTTATCTAGTTAATCTGCAGACAATGTGGTAGATTCAAGTACCACCTGATTACAAACTCTCAAAACGTGAACAACAAGTTATCGGTTACCTATGACTGTATTCGAATCTGACTTAATAGCTTCTAAGCATCGTCCGAGACATTTTGATTTGCAGACGGGGCGACAGGGTTTCGAATCTCTCTTCCACTACAGAAGCGAAGGGGCAGGTCGTAAGTCGAACGGATTCATACGATATGAAAGAAACGTACTTGTTTGGAAGGGCCGCAACACGTCGCGTGATTACAAGGCTTGTCAGTCTTTGGGCAGTCCAATACACAATCTTCCGTTGGTGTCTCCTTAACTTCACTATTAGAATGGTACTATAAAGTCGAACAATTTTAATCCAGACATTTAAACAATTCGAAGCTCTTGGATCAAATGAATCTCCTCGTACATATTCAGATCGGGTGTTTACTTACATCAATGAATTCTGGCTGTATCGTAGTAGAATGTATACCCTCGTTGTGGAAAAATTCTTTTACTTGCTCCGCGATTTTCATATACTCAGACAAATTTCTACATCTTATATGCGCCGATGCGATGATCCGATCGCCAGCCAATTGCCACACGTGAAATTCGTGCACGGCTAAAACCCCATCGATGTTTTCAAGCAGTCGTTGCTGGATGGCATCGACCTATAAAGATGATCAGCGTGCACTTACGTAATATAAATCTCATTGACTTGTATCAGGATAATATGCACGATTGCTATTACCTGAATATGCGTGGGTACGGTCTGTAGTAAAATCAGTGCAGATTCCTGGAGCAATGGCCAGACTGATCGCAGAATAAGAATAACTAATAAAAGCGAGAGAGCTGGATCGATGTAAAATCTGTAACAGAAAAATTTATTTTTATATTGTACATGACAGAATCGAGTATCGTGCACTTGCAGCATGGTAAATCACCTGTACTTCCACTTTGTTAGCCAAACGATTAAAGCAGATATGATTACAATCACAGATCCCAAAGCATCTGAGAGTACGTGAAGAAACACACCGCGCATATTCATCTGACTCGCATCGTGCGTGTGCCCGTGCGTTCTTTTCACTTGAGGCGTCGACGGCCTATAAGTTTCATCATTCTCATTATCATCCGTTCCTACTAGGGTGCTCAATCGATTATGACTTCTAGATATGCCATGTGAATGTGCATGAGAACTTCTATGCTCTGGAATAAAGATATCGAGATGATGAGTAACTGAGAAACATATCTTTGATCGTTTGTTAGCGTTCGGTACCGAGATGAGAGGACAAAGAGATTTCGCGGTAATTCCGATCTCCGACCAGTTCCGAGAACCTCGTAAACTTCCTTATATCTATGTCACGGTCGTGTCGAATGGTACTTACCATGGAACAGGCACAATCCAATAATATTCACTAGCAAACCAAGCCCTCCGACCACTACGAGCAATTTGGCTTCGTGTATTTCTTCTACTTCGATAAATCTCTTACACGCTTCCACGGTAATACTGAAACACAATGCGACTAAAAAGACGGCGTTTACCAAAGCGCCTAAAACCTCGGCTCTGGCCCAGCCGAACGTATTCTTCGACCATTTCTTTGGTGACATCTGCGAACAACAGTGATCCATATCGTAGGAGGATTAATTGATATCTTTTTTCTCCTTTGTTACTCACCTTTACGGAAAGAAATGCGACGACCAAAGCTGCTACGTCGGATAACATATGAAAACTATCGGCTATTAAAGCCATGCAGTTCGTAACGTAGCCCACTACTATTTCTACTAAGAAGAAAACAGCAGTGAGCCACAACATCGTTAACAGACGACATTTCTTCCCTGTAAAACGACCCATAGCAGCGTTCGTACCTAAAATATATTTCAATTTCACAACTACTGGCTCAATATTAAAAGTTCGTCGATCCGGTTTATTGTCGCTAATTTATATTATTAAATATATCTCTACAACAGTACTATTATATATTTTAATATTTTTATTATCGCGCACCGTCGTAAAAATATCGCGAATGAAAACCCGATAAACGCAATCACATCGCGTTAAACCTGTATCATTCGATATATTTTTAAACTTCAAAAACGCCTCGTTGTTTGACAAGAAAAGATTAGAATCTTTCACAGTAGATGTAGGCTGTTCTTTCAATTTTCTGAAAGTACATTGGATAATTCTGAATTCGCAGAAAGGAATGAAGGAAAATGTAGGATGTGAAACAAGACAAAGGGTGACACAACGAACATTAAAGGTGATGTAGGATTTGCGGTTTAGTATGACACATATTTGCAATAGAGAGGAAATGAAAACGCTGTGATATTCGTGTGTATAGAGGAAATAGTAAAATGAATCATGTCCTTTACACAGTCGTTTTAACATTTCCATTAGTCTGTTAGAAATAGATAAAACTACAAATATAATTGAATTTTTAATAGATGTACACAAAAATTATATTTCTACTCTTTAAATTAAAGAACATAATACATATAATGTTTTGATCCAAGTAGAATGCCCGGTGACGCTTCAGCTTTGTCTGTTTAGTTTCACCATCATCATCATCATCTTTGTTTAATATATTTCGATAACAATAAATCTTGGCGTTGAAAATAAATAAAAAGGCGTTAATACATTAAATTGAATTAGTACATTAAAGAGTACTGTATATCTCAATTGTCAAATGTTTCATATATCGCATACGTCAATTATTTCGAAATATTTCAATTGCTTCATTGACATTTAATATTCAAAGAGAAATAACTTTTAATTGCGAGAGGACGTTGATTAATGTTTAAAGGCAGTTGGTGATTCAATGGGAACGCGAGTTGCTCCATTTTTATAGGATTGATTGAGACCACAAAGGTGCTGACGTATACTTACGTTTCTAATAAAGTATTACAATTCGTGGTATGATATATCAAAATTGCATCGAGGAACACCAACGCGGACTGTTTGTGGTCATGTTACACAGTATTGATGTGTATTCACAGGCACGAGCACTGATAAAAAATGACATTAGATTCTTGCCAATCGCGTTGACTATTTTTAATTCATTTATAAAAGAACCACGTGGAAAAACTAATATGCACTGAGCTAAAACACTTAAACCTACGGATTAATAAAAATCTCATGTACCATTACGTTACAAAAACCATTGGCAAAGTGAGAATAAAGATAGACGATCGGGCATCGCTACACTTTTTTTAAACTACCAACAGTTGCTGTATGAAATATACATTATGTTCTGTAATGTTCTGAAATTGACTAGCAAAACTCAACCGAGCTACTCCTTCTCCGGCCTGCGTTTACGAGCTCTACGTAGAAGACGAACAAAATCGTGACTTGAGCAAAGAAATGAATCGACTAAACGAATTTCACGGTACGGATATTCCCAACGTAGTCTACTATCTTTTATTTCTGGTCGTACATGATGTACGAACTTCTGCCAACTTCATTCCTGAAACTAGCCACAACACAATGTATATTTAATTGTGTGAGAAATAGGTGTACCAAAAGTACTGTTTACTTTTACGAGGTGCATGTGCAATGTAAATTAATCATGGTTTTATAATATCTGCGAATTAAACGTACCGTCATGTGTAATATGTAATTAGTATTCGAAGAAGTTCGAAAAAGATCGAGAAAAAATGAATTTAATAACTGCATTAAAGTTTTATATTACTCAAATGACAGAAGAGAGTGGGCCTGGTATGAAAGTTCTTTTGATGGACAAGCAAACGGTAAATACGATTTTGATAATGCTCAAAGAATGCAAGGTGTACGTTAGAAACGTACGATGTAACGAATATTTACAGAATATTCATTCTCACGTATTTACAATCGTGTAAAACATTCCTCACTCATTTTTCTTTGTACAATATATCGCCTTACACATAATGCTAATGATGATCCTTGAGCATATCACTGTTTAATGATCGACATTTCTAAAACAGTTTATGCTTACAAGGAAGTGCATATATTTTCAGACCAGTATAGTCAGTCTGCTGTACAGTCAGTCGGAAATATTTCTCAAAGAGGTTTATTTATTTGAACGTATTGATGTAAATGCTCGCAATGAAGGTTTGAAGCATTTAAAGTGTATAGTGTTTATAAGACCAACCAAAGAAAATGTTGAATACCTTTGCAACGAGTTACGATGTCCGAAATACGGGACTTATTACATTTGTAAGTAACAAGAACACTTGAACATTCATTCGAAGGAACCACTGTTACGATAGAAATTTAGTTGTCAGCAATTCGAATCACGTTTTAATCCATTTCGATAGTGAGAATTTCATCATCCACTGTAAAGATGATCATCGTTCGTCAATTTCAAAGTTCGAGCAGCGATTGCTTTGATGTTACGCTCACGCCCGACCCGGTGTAACTCACAGTCTTTTTGATTAATCGTTGTTTAGATTTCAGTAATATTATCGCAAAGGCCGATATCAAGTTACTGGCTGAAAGCGACGAGCAAGAAGTAGTGAGAGAAGTTCACGAGTATTATGCAGATTATTTAGCTATTAACCCACATTTATTCTCCCTCGGAATAAATGCGTGTTCACAAGGTATTAAATGATAAGAAATAGTTTTAAGACTACTCGATAACAAATATACATTCCTCGATCAATTCCTCCTACCTCCTCCATTCGAGAAAGATATTCCTAAATGGGGCATCGCGTACGAACATTACTATTTCTATTTCTTTATTAAGGTTTACTATGGAACCCAGTGCATCTGCACAGAACCGTCTTAGGTATAATTTCGGTACTGTTATCCCTTAAAAGATGCCCCCATATACGTTATCAAAATAGTTCTGAAATGGCTAAGAGATTAGCAGAGAAAATAGGTGAAGTACTGAGCAAAGAGTCAAGTTCCTTCAAATTCAGACAAGATTCTAGTCCAATTTTACTGATACTTGACAGAAGGGACGACCCCATCACGCCCTTATTAAATCAGTGGACATACCAAGCAATGGTTCACGAATTACTAACAATTAATAATAATCGCGTTAATTTATCGCACGTCAAGGGTATTTCGAAGGAGCTGAAAGAAGTTGTTCTCAGTGCGGAACACGACGAGTTTTATGCCAACGTAAGAATACACTTATCGTAAATGTGTTAACTTGAATCTTCCAATCGTTTTAATAAAGATATCCTCGGACAGAATCTCTATCTTAACTTCGGCGAAATCGGGCAAACGATAAAGGAACTAATAGATGAGTTTCAAAAGAAAGCTAAGAAACATCAGAAGGTAGAGAGTATAGCCGATATGAAAAATTTCGTTGAATCTTATCCTTTGTTCAAAAAATTGTCTGGGACCGTGTCGAAACATGTAACGGTGGTCGGGGAACTTTCGTCCCTCGTTGAGAAATATCATTTATTACAAGTGTCCGAGTTGGAACAAGAACTTAGTTGTCAAAGCGATCATTCCACCCAGGTACATTAAGTGAGAATCAAGAAGAATATAGATAGAATACAATTGACCTACATATTTCTAATCTTTATCGTAGCTCCAGAAAATAAAAGAACTTATTAATAGTCAGCAGATACGGGAAATTGATAGTGTAAGGCTGGTCATGCTTTACGCGCTTCACTATGAGAAACACGCGAACAATGATATCAATGGTTTATTGAACTTACTACGAAGTACGGAGGTTTCAGAAAGATACATTAAAGTACGTAGATGTTAACGCAAATTTATTCATGTACAAACGATTGGTATACAAGTAAAAGGGAATTATGATGTTTCAGCTTGTGTACAGTATATTACAGTATAGCGGAATTAATGCCAGGCAGAATAATTTATTTGATCGGGAATCGGTAGCCAAAATTACTAAAAAATTGTTCAAAGGTTTAAGCGGAGTGGATAATATTTATACCCAACACACGCCTCTGCTGAACGAGACGCTTGAGGATTTGATAAAAGGAAAGTTGAGCTTACAAACGTTTCCGTATCTCGGAAACACAATGGTGTCTAAAAGGTGAATTTAGTATAACGCGTCATTAATACGCTTCCGAGTGAGCGTACTACGTCTCTTACATTTCAGGCTGCAAGAAGTCATCGTGTTCATGGTCGGAGGCACGACCTATGAGGAAAGTCTGGCGGTTTACAATTTAAATAAACAAAATGCGGGAGTGAAAATTATATTAGGCGGTACCACCATCCATAACTCCGCGAGTTTCCTCGAGGAGATCCAACAAGCCACGTCGGGTATTTTATCAAAGTATAAAAATAATAATAACTAAAACGCTACGTGTATATATTTCCATTCTAAGTATTTATTTATACAATTTCGAATTATGGGTTTAACTGTTACACAATGAAGTCTTTTATAATAATTATATTCTATCCATAACGATATTAAAGCAAACAATGTAGTAACAAAAAATATAAAGTTACGCTAACGTTAAACAATAGGAGCTTTTCTCAAAGTAGTAGCAATTTTAATTCCCCTGATATTTATTATCTCACTCGTCGTCGGTACGTACATCTTCTGTGGGTACGCTCGAAATTTCATTGTCTTCGACCGGTGCCTTTAACAAACGTATCATCATTTCAGTAGACAGTCAAAGTTATACAGCGTTCATTGTGTTACCGTTAATATAACGATCACATGTTAAAGTCTGCTGGAGAGAATATCTCTGAGTTTTAGTGCATCTTTTTTGTACGTGTAATTTAAGGAGGGACAACGAATTTGTATCGCATGAATTCTATTTTACATACGTGCAATTTCTTGTCATCTCAAATACAAATCCATAGTCGAATTAAAAACGCTCGATCATTTTTACTTCCTTACATGTTTCAGAGGAATTCTTACCAGCCTCCATTTCTAAAATCATTTCCACAATAAAAAATATCGCTTATACCCAACGTAAATCTAAATAATGTTTCTTCCACCGTCGTTTTACATACACATTTAATAGAACAATCCTTATACATGAATTACTGATCGTATCATTCGTGATATATTTACCTCTAACATTCCAGATGAAACGACGTAAGTCGTCATTACTACCGTAGCGAAAATCCCGGCAAGGAACTGATTTCTTCTCTTATTAGGAAACTCGTTCTCCGTCTCTTTCACGTTCTTGGCATTTTCTTTGGCTTTGTACTCGCGACATTCGTCGCCGAAATACCTTTCCGATATTCGTGATATGAAAGATACTAAATTCGTACAAGCTCTCAAATGATTCTGTAGAGCTGAATTCGGCAGTGGAACTTTGAGCAACGGTGCTAGATAGGAATATATAACTGCGTCCAATACGGTAGGTTTCTCACTCAAAAAATAATCAGACTCCCCCAGACTTGTGGACAGTAACGTCAAGCACTGCTGTGCTTCGGAGTAGACCTGTTCGTTATTAGTTTTCATATAGTTTTGCTAGTAAGCATTTCTTAAGCCTCTGCGACTTAACGGGAACACTGATTACCTTATTTTCTATCACGCTTATATCATCTTCTGTAGGGTACAAACTTTCGAAGATAACGTGTGCTTGTCGTTCAAATTTTCCTGGGTAATAAAAGTTTAATGGAAAAGGCAGTGCTTTACAATACCACGGTCTTATCACTTCGTTCACATTTCTTTCATCTATCCACCTAAAATTATCATTATTTCTTCTATACCTTCGTATAATAGAATTTTATTAAAATACTACGGATTTTAATACGTGTATCTATATCGATCGAAACTTAAATCGTGTATGTAAAGATCGATGCATTTCCAAATATCCCGCAAAGTACATTCGATTTCTCTTAATTTATAACATTGTCCACATACGAATGACAATCGTTAAAACCGTAACTACCCACTCCGCATAATTTTTCGTATTGACAATAAAAAAATGTGCATACCAAATGAACTGTAACGCTGGATATAATTTTTCTTTTAACATCGCATCGTAAGCCATAACGTTTGCGCATTCTTTTCGACTTAACTCGTATTCTGTGTTATAATTTTTTCCCCTGAAATATTCTATTATATTTTTGACTGTATCGAACGTACCATCGTTAGTTTTCAATACGGGTAATCTGCCGTTAGGCGTTCGGAATGGATTAGAAGTTTTTACTTTCAAAGGTACACCGCTAATTTTCGCGTAAACCTAGAAAAAATGGGAATGTAGGTCATTCGGATCTTTCTCACTCGTCGTGACAAAAGAATTAAACTACGTAATTCTCGATAGATTAATTAATATATTTGAAGTACAAAAGAATCATTTTATGTCCTTCCGTTTGGTCGGAGAAATGGAAATAGGGGTAGTTCTTGCAGTCTGGATTTTTGGCGGTATCGTGTACCTTTTTATCGAACAGCGAAACATACATATTACAAGATTCCGAAGATTTC